ATGACAAGTTCTTCATGGTGAACCTTGGAGATGATCAGCATTTATGTTGCAATATACAGACTCTGGAAACATATAAATACCACTCATGCGTCAGACATGCCGTCCTGGAATTAATAAGTGGAGGATCTAAGGAAGGGTTCACTCAACTACATTCCAAATATGATTACCTGAAAACGTTCATACCTATACCGGAAGATCCCAATTTTAAATTAATCAAAGTATTCGACATCGAAGGAAATCCTGTAGAAGAGAAAACAGAATATCAACTAGAAATGTACGATCAGGACATGGATATCCTGAACTTTTATGATGGTAAACTTTATGGAACGGCTCATGATAACCAAGTGGAAGTCCTAGTTGTGAAGTTCTCCATAGTAGATGATATACATTACCTTATGTATAAAAACAAATATCTACATGTAGCGGATGGAAGTGATGAAATAAGTCTCACTGATCGACTTCCGACTAAACAGCAAAGATTATTGTTTATCCCCACGGAGGATAACACATTCCTAATTTTCAAATGGACTTCGCCAGTATATCTTACCTTTGAAACGCTCACGAATAGGTATAGTGCTGTCAGGTTTGAGGAGGAAGGATTCATAAGGCTAAGTGGTGATCTTCTACACCTATTCTTGAAACGAGTTTAGACGTACCCCTTGGAGACACATTTTGAATTAAAAGTCGAAAATAAATCGTCATATGGCTGCCAGTTGTGTGTACTTTTTTGTTTTTAGGAACCTAGAAATGTGGTGGATGTAATGGAGAAGGAGAGAGAATAGAGACACAATAGAAGAAACATTAGAATGAGCAGAGGGTTAAAGTAGAAGTTGCAGCAAAAGGTGAGAAGAGGACTGAAAAGCAAAAAATAATTTTCACTAGCAAGATTCACAGCGTCACAAACGAGAAGGTCAGCTACTTCAGTGTCCTCGCCAGGAAGCCATGAATTCACAATGAAAATGATGCCTTCACAAGAAACATGCCCTTACTAGATGCATACACCGCATAAGCTTTGCTTATCAATTCGTTACCATTGGAATTTAGAAACAAAAAGATTAATAAGCATGAAGAGGATATGTGTATTATCTGTTCATAAACCCGGGTTTCAACACAAGTCACTACATTCGACCTCTGGATGAAATGCCAAACAGCTACTCAGTCCATCGGTAAAAGTTATACTGAGAACAAAACATATTGCTTGAGATCACTGCTCTGCTATGGGCTATTCAAAAAAGTCTTGAATGTCTGTTTCATTACAATCTTAGACAGACCTCTACATGGCCATGGATGAGTTTAAAGAGCGTGTTACCTGGCAACCAGGTCTCACCGCCACCTTAGCGGAGAGAAGACACAAGGAAACCACTATCGTGTAACCTCCGAGATCTGTGATGACCTAACAAAAACAGTATAAATATCGCAATTAACCATTGGGGGATAATTCATTTCTTCTGCAT